TACGTGAAGCTACTAAACAAACCATTGACAGAAAATGGTAATCCTTTGAAAATTTATGAATCAGTGGAAAGGTCACAGTGTGTTGAGATCTATTAGATTTCTGTCACCTAAATCACCTGTCACATCAGATCATTCTATCATTCACAGGTTAATCAAACCACCTTATGTTAAACCAAAAGCTTAAATCAGCTGTTAGTGGCTGTTAATTATCGCTATAAAAACAAGGTATATGCTTCATCACAACCCTAACCGGTAAATAGACAAGTGCGTCACACCCCACTGTGTTTATCAATATATATAAAAGTTAGGATCTTCGAACATGTACCCAAAATAGTTACCGGAACAAATTAAATCAGATGACCCATTTAGAGCAGATGACAAACATCTATTTTTCTCTTTGTTAAACACCTGATCTTTCATTTGTCGTATTGACCTTTTATATTTCATAAATAAATATTCTTAACAAGTTTGACTCACTTGGTATTGTTTTACTTGTATCTTCCTATTGATGTTTAGGACTGAAATTGATCAGTCTCATATTGGCATATGTGCATACTGTGCGTATTGCCTTGATATTGCCTTAATTTACAAGCATTATAAGCAAAGATGGATAGTGACTAGTAGTGGAATCCAGGACGCACGTTTCGTCCTATGTCCTATGCATCTCAGAGTTGATGTTCACTCTGGGATAGGTATATGTGCGATCAGATCGTGTTTGAAAAGTTTTACGCTAATATATCATGTAGTTCTGACAATCTTAGTTTTCTCAGTACATCATCCAAATAAAATATTAGGTGAATGTAAGTTACTTTATAAAAACATAGATTTCGAAAATTATTGAAATTCAACACAAACATGCATATGGAGAGGGATAGTGAATAGCCATTATCGATTGGTTGGTTTATGACCTTCAATATTCAAATTGACTTGGTATTGTTTACTTGAATCTTCTCATTGATGTTTAGAACTTCACCCCATTGCACAACCAAGTGGCTGTTAGGACTCCGTAGCTAAGTGAGTGGTACTGGGTTCGAGTCCCGGAGTGAACAGTAACTCTGGAATGCAGGTACTTCCAGCTGACGAGTCTCAAATAGAACGAAACGAACGTCCTAAATTCCACTGCTAGTCACTATCCATCTTTGCTTCAAAATTTAGTCTTCATTTATCTGATAAGTAACTAATAATTGTTAAATTTAAACATGTTAAGTACCAGATACCTCCTTAATGATTCAAAGTTTTAACACTTACAGGTCCTAGGTGCGATTCCTATCGACCTGTAGATGTGAGCTACCGAAGCATCCCATTCTAAGACGAATAAACTGTTCAATGTTTCATGTATTTTGATGATAGTTTAACTAAGGTCAGTCATTAATGTTTGTAATGAAATATCGGTTGTAATTGGTTAATATCTAGTTCTTCAATTCCATGCCTACTCTTAGAATCACTTTATGCCATCAGTGTAGTATAGTTTTACTGTAAAGTTTATTTCAGTCTTTTTCACACACTTCATATCTTGATCACAAATTAACTAGCTAAATGAGTGAGTATATGTCACTGTGTGTTTCAGGCGTAAAATGTATGGAATACACAGACTTAGTTAAGTATTTCTATTTGTGTTATTTTATCAACTGATATTCTATTCACCATTGATACTAATAGGCAACAATTCAACTAAGGGAAACATCTATTTATGTTATGATAGTAGGAAATGTCATAATTAACGAAATTCTCTGATTTAATGAATCATAATAGTCCTGGTGTCTATGAGCTTCGATGAACAGAATAATAAAGACATTATTATTATTATGCATAAAAAAAGTCAGATTCCTCAATTAGAATTCAGATATGGTGAATATGTTATATATCACAAAATAATAATGAAATTACAAACACGATCAATGAACTTCTTGAGGTAAACTATGGATTCATAGAGCTGAAAATCACAGTAATCTATGATAGAATTCATGCCATTTTAATTTTATCCCTATGATTAGAATATTAGAGCTAAACTGTCAAGGTTTATGGCTAGGATTTTAAGTTTAAGCGCTTTGGTCTGTACAATGAACCAATCTAACTAACCTATTCCTAACTCTAAAATTAACTCTGAACATAACACTCAAAACCTTAACATTTTAAAGCTCAAAATTCCTTTTCACATTAACATTTGATGTCTCGTAAGTCCCCTAATATAACATCATCAAGAGTATTTAAAATAAGAAATCTAGTCAACAACGTGATTTTCAACAATAAACTATCTGCAATGTCATTTTAACTTCGCTCCGATTTGATTGTTCACTCAAAGCTGTCCATATTTTGCTCTTTGCTTACTTTATTGACTGATAGTCCTTTTTAATAATGAAGTACACTTTGTAAAGTGATTATCTAAACAATTTAGCAAGTTTGAGGTAGACAAATATGACAAAGTATGCTTAGATAATATGATATGATTAAGAAGTAATGCAAATTGCAAATGGATATTGTTAGTTTAAAAATAAGCTGTATCACTCCCCAAGAAAAAGTCATTTACTGAAAATCTTGAAATGATTCTGTAAGAAGCTTAATCGGTGAATAATTAAACCTAAATTATCTTCTTAAATCATTATTTATCCACAGTTTAAGCCACAAAACGACTTAAGTTAAATAACCATTGAAAACTTGAAACTACTCGATACCTGTCATGGCCTAGAGTGGGACTTCCTTGAAGTGCCTACCCATCAATTCACCATCAGGGGTCAAACTGAGGATTTGCCATCTCTAACTTGTAAACCAATGAGCCTGTAAAGGTAACGCCAATTTTATCACTTGTGATGGATAACTAACTCGTTTGTTATAATTTAAGAATATTCGTTTAGCTAAATTAAAGACATAATAATAGTACATTTCAGAAAACTTTTACTATCGATCTAGATATAACTTAATAGTAATAACTTATTACAAAATTTGTTCAGTTTGATTTTGTGCGCACCAAAACTACTGAAATCCATAAAAAAAGAAAAATTAATTGCACATATATGTATACAAGTTCACTTGGAATTCTCAAGGCCAACGAAGAAAAGGAAGACTAAAGGACATATTACTCCGAGAAATAGAAGCAGACATGAAAAGAATGAACTAGAAAGGAAGGCTCAAGATAGAGTGGGTTGGAGAATGCTGGTCGATGGTCTATGTTCCATTGAGACTAACAGGTGTAAGCAAGTAAGTAAGTAAGTAAGTAGTATGTATACAAGTACATGTGTATATATTAGTTTAAATAAAGTTTAATTTGCACAAAAATTTCACTCTCAGATATTAATTAGAACTTATAGGAAATTGCAAATTAATCAGACAAAATTGTTTTGGGTAATGTGCGTTTTAATTATCTAAATAAACGGAAGTGATGATTATTGACGTTAATAGTAATTATTGATTACCTCAATGTAAAGATCGAGTGAAAGTTAAATTTGATAACAAAATGTCAAAATTCTAAAAGTTTAAAAATAAAAGTTATTTCATTGTAGTTTGATTTGATTCATGAAGTTTGTTCTGTTAGGCACAAAACGTAATTTCAACAGTTGAGATCATGAGTCAATTGAATCTAAACAATCATGGAAAACGTGGAAGTACCGGACGGCCTTTTCGTCCTATTGCGGGACTCCTCAGCAGTGCGCGTTTACGACCCCGCCTTACGGGATTCGAACCCTGGACCGTTGGATGCCAGCTGAGTGGTCTAGTGGTAAAGTGCTCGCGCGCGAGACTGACAGGCCCTGCGTTCGGATCTCGTGAGGCGGGATCGTGGATGAGCACTGCCGAGGAGTCCTGCAGTGGGACGAAACGGCCGTCCAGTGCTTCCAGGTTTTCTATGGTGGTCTAGCTTCAACTGACTCATGAATTCAACCATTAAAATACTGTAGTATCCATATAATCCCTTCTGATACAAAATGTAATTGTCCAATGAAATGAATTCGTATAATCATGATCAGCCAATGAGAGAAGAGTTTCAGTAGTTAGCCAATCAAATTCTATTTGAGTAAAAATGCTCACTAATGTGATAAAGGGTATAAATATGTTTAGTTTTGGTTTCTCACAAACACCAAAGATACATTCAAACAGTGCAAACCTTGCAAACCCTGCAAAATATTCCCCTAAGGTGAGATCTCTAAACTAAATCGTTAGGTTGAGAACATATCTCAAACGACCACGTCCTGAGCTATAAATATTCCCCATTGTCTTAATACGTAGATTAGTGAAACCTCTATGTATTAATACATGAATCAGGTAGCTAATCATTGCTGTCATATATTGGAATAAGAAGTTTATTGTTTGAATCAATTAACCGACAGTTATCAATATTATACTAGAGTCATCAATGATCTTGGAATGTTAACAAATATTAGATATTATATGTAAACCAATTTCGACGAAATAATGTTAAGTCAATATACAAAATTCGGATTTTAAAGGAAATCATGCTATGAATAGTGAAACATATAAATTCATGTGTTTCTTCGTCAATATATCATACTGATACGGATTAGAAACAACACATATTCTTCTTAAAGAAATATATTAGACTTTATTAATATCTTTAAACATATTGTAAAATCTATATATGACACTCTATTTAGCCAAACTTACAAGCTCCTTACAGATTCATGAGGTTAAAAGGTATATATTGGTGTTTTTTTTAATTATAGATCTCCCTTTCATCGTGATGCATTTATCAGAATAATGTCAAGGTGGCATAGATGAATGTTTTGTTTTAATATGAAACTTCTCAACTAGATCAGTGGTTTAATCTATAACCTTCAATCTTTGTGCAGACATAGTTTTCTCTTCAAACCATTGAGTTAGAATTCAATCATGTATATTTTTAATTTCAGTTATTTATAAGATGTTCATTAATTTTAAGAAGCTTAATACAAAAATAAGAAATAGATAGGTTGCTTAACAACCCTATATGGATAAAAGATAAAAGCCAATAAAATTAATGATGTAACTTTAAATTGTAATAATTTACTTACATTGATTATAATCAACCAATGGATATTGATGAAAATGTTCCATCTGTTGACAATCATACTGATGTTGATTTTGTTGAAGTTTTCTTGTAGTAGATGGTGATAAGTTATCCTATAAAAAAAGATAATTCAAAATAATGAAATACCGGAAAAAATGTTCTTTTTACAAGTCGTTGTGTATGTTTGTATGGTAATAAATCTAAACAGATCGATAAATCTTGAAATCATGATGAACACAATTGAATGTCAACTGTTGAGGAGTCCTAATTGATTCATAATCGCAACCATTGAAAGTACTATAAAATATCCACAGAAAAACCCTTCTGATTTGAGTCAACATATGCTCACTAATGGCTGGCTTCAAGACGTATTTTCTGGAGTTCTAGTGAGAAGCAGTAACCAATGAAGTTCAACGGGGTCTGTTGTGAGATAGTAACTCACTGAAGACAATGGTCGATGTCTCGCTGAGTTCCGTAGATTGATTAAAGTTAGACATTAACACCATTGGATGCCGACAGGATCAGTGGTCTAGTGTTTAGGGTCCCGTGTTGAAATTTCAAGAGGCGAGATGGTGGATGGTCACTGCTGAGGAGTCCCACAGTTGGACGAAACGGCTGTCCAGTGCTTCCAGGTAGTCCATGGTGGTCTAGCTTCAACTGACTCATGATCTCAACCATTGAAATTACCGTGATATCCCCAAAAATCCCTTCTGATATACTTAATGTTGTGTTTGGGGTGAGGCTCTAATTTATGGATGACCTTCGAGTGATGTTAAACTGACTTTGAGAGTGTCCACCTGATAACTTTAGTCAAATGAGGATTATAAACCAGTGCGAGGAATTAGAATTATGATTTAAAGTTGATTGCTAAGGTTAGGAATTAGATTTAAGGTTTTTATCACGAACCGACATCAGCTATAATGACAAAACTCTATTTAGCCAAATGAACGAGTAAATTTCACGCCAAAATCCGAGACCTGTTACTTTGCACCTGATTGGTTCGTCCATAACTTATAGTTTCACCGTGTTTGGTTAGAAAGATTTAAAAATTACCGGTCTAATCTATGATAAAGTGATAAGTGAATAAAAAATATCTTAAATAGTTGGAATAGACTAACAGAGATATTAAAAATCAAATAGACTGATTCAATAAAAAGTTCTCTTTTTCAGTGAACTGATTCTCAAAGCTGTAGAATCGTAAAACCTGTACTGTTCTCCTTGCCACAGTGACAATCAACAATACATATATGTTATGAATAATTATTTACTGAGCATAGTAACACAATGATTGATGATAAAGTTGTTTTTTTAAAAATTAAAAATACTGACTGTTTAGAGCTTCAGTGTTTATCAAGACTGTCACAGAAGTTGGACAAAGGTTAATAAGTGTGCATAATATCATTGGATAACATGTAGACATTCACATAAAGTGTAATCAAAAAGGATACAGATGTAAAAATATCGGTTGGGAGTAGAATGTAAACGGAGAAACAGGGCAAGGTTGGAGGGTAATGCGTAACAACAACTAACTTCTATTAAATCTACCCACATTCCTCAAGTCATTCACAGAGACTATAAGACGAATAGGAAGAAAAAATACTTTATTCCAAATTATACTGATAAAAACCGATTATAAATCGAGTTCAAGTGTTCCATACACTGCTCTAAGTAAAATTATCATATACGATTTCATTGTGAATTTATTCAGTATTTGAGCAATGGTATTTTTATACTGACCCTATTTCACTTAATAACTGTTTCTACATATTCTACCATTCTTAGCTCATTATCAATTGGTTATGGATCTAGTCCTCAATTTTATATCAATTATGAACTGGTTGTCACATAGGTATTATAATTTCTTATTTGTGGTATGTTGTAGTCATGTGATCGATACTGTGAGTATTTAAATCAAGCTTACGATAACAGAATAAAAAACAATTCCATCTGAAGATGGAAAGAACTGTATAAACCAATGGGTCATAGTCATTATGCTATTGGTCAAGGGATCATTGATCTGATAGGCGTAAATCGAATAGGATATTCTAGACATTCATTATCATGTGATGAGGCTAAAGAGGGTAATATAAGAAAGTTTACACTATTAACAGTTTTTAATATGTCATCTAAGAATATGTAGGATCTTCAAGGGTTTGATTTTCCCTCTTAAACTAAAATCCAAGTCATTGAGTGCCATAGTTAAAAATGTCGTCGCTTACCAAATCAGGAAGGGAGATGTTTTCACAGAAATTTATTACTGAACAGTAATTAACTTTTTCTCTGACGAAAAAAAAACTATTTTTAAACATGATCTGGATTGAATTTTTAAGAGACTAGCTATATGGATCACTGATCAATTCGTTTATTGATTTACTACTTGTCTAAATTCACTCAACTAAATTGATAGAATGTAAATGATAGTACTTGAAACATTGTTAGTAGTAAAGATTAATAAAAACTAAAAATGGATCTTAATTAAGAAAGATTAGTTCAGCGAATAGAGTTCTCTTTTCGGCGAATTCTTTTTCAAAGCTGCATAATTGCATATATCTATACTTATTTTTACAGGATGATAATAATACTGATAATAAACTTCTGTTAAACATGGTAACAGTGAGGTTAAATAAACAAGGTTATTGAAAGAAATTCTTTTAAAAACAAGGAAAGTTTAATAATCGTTTCATTGTTAATGGCTTGAATATTTATGATATGATAAAATGTTGAACTTGAGATTAAATGTAATCAGAAGGATCGTAGAAACAGAAATAAATCAGTTGGGGGTAAAAGATTTAAGGGGAAGGTGGAAGGTGAAGCAGATGGCTGTAAAGGAAGAAGAGTATGAAGAAAGAAAAAGGAGAAAGAAATTATAAGACATTAAGACCATGGTAGAAAAAGAGGTTGTACCAATCTCTTTTGAACACTCAATTCTGGTTTTTCCAGATGTATGACTATTTCTTTGGCAATGTAATTGCATTACCAAAAAATGAACACTTCGCTGAACTAATCGCTCTTATTTAATGTCTTAATGGGTGTATTCCGTTTATTAAAAATGATAGGTCCTGGGTTCGAGTCTCTCCGGGGGCAGGATCGTGGATCCTCACTGATGAGGTCCCATATTAGGACGAAACGACTGTCTAGTGCTTACAGGTATTCCATGGTGATCTAGCTTCAATTGAATCATGATTTCAACTATTAAAAATGAATCCTTTTCTATCGCTTTTGAAGCTAGATAAATGGTGACAATCGGGAAGATACTATATTTGACTTGCATTTCATACAAGTTGACAAATCTGTAATCTTAAAGGAACTGATGTTTTCTGTAGGTGCAGAACTTACATCATCCACAGTGAATAACCAGTTTCGATCTAATTAGAAAACAGTAATTCTGGTTATCATATCTATGTGAATATCACGTTTTAGATTAAATTTGCAAAAATAAACTCTAGTTAGTGAGTTTTTATAATCTGCTCAATTTCAATGTATTTTATCTACCTAAACAAATGTTAACAATGAAACTGTTGGGAATTCGTGTAACCTAGACACTTATCTCGTTCTTATTTTAATCCATGTACTAAATCTAAAATAAATGAAAGTTTCTATACTCCATTTGTAGTTAACTCCATGTTTGTGATTAAATACGAATAGTTCACTTGTTTGGGATTAAACCGTTAAAAACTGTGTTTGTGTGTGTATGTATGTGTGTAAGTGTGTGTGTGTGGCTGTGTACGAATATATACATATGGGCACAAACACCTGTTTAAATGAAACAATGACATGTCTATAGTAAAAAAAATTGGCATTTTACTAGCCTAAATATATATCTATGTCAAATTGTGTGTGAATTGAAATTCAGACAGTTTCCTTATCATATTGCATTAATGATGTCGAGCTTTTTTTTTAAAGTTTCATCTGATTTTTCCACCTAAGTGTAGGTGGAAAATCACATTTGATGGAGAAGCTTTGAAAGATGTAAAAACCTCTACATATCTGCGCAGCATCATTGATGAACACGATGGATCTGATGTGGATGTAAAGGCGTGGATTGGCAAAGCAAGAGCAGCATATCTACAATTGAAGAACATCTGGAACTCAAAACAACTATCAACCGACACCAAGGTCTAACTCTAACTAATCCACGAAATTGAGCAACACATCCACCATTGTGTTCAGTGAGTTACTTTCCACAAAAACCCCTTCTGATACTTAAATAAGATTGACGTTAATAGTTGTTTTCAAATGGAATCATGTCCACCTTCAGGAAATGTTCGCATGAATTTATCCCGATAATCAAATGTCGAAAAACTGTTTTAAATTATTTACTTAAAATTTCGAGTAACATACACAAGTAAACCGAGTAAACACAAGAATCAGCCTCCTAAATTTTTTATTTTAATTTGAACTACTAACAATTAACTAATAGTATATAAAATTCATTTAAATATCAATGATCGAGATATGCACACTCAGAAATAATATCGTTTCATGGGAATGATTTAAATATAACTATAATGTAAGATAAAATGATGATCTATGCAGGTATATTACTAACAAATCAGCACGTTCTATCACTTCAATGTCTTAATTTTCCCCATGCGATTTGTATTCCAACAGAGTCAATGCATTTTAAAATGGTATAACATTTGTTCTAATACAAAACCCGCTGCATTTTTCATTGTCAACCTTATTATATGGCTATTTTTTAAAGGATTATAAGCGTTCACACATAAGACTTTAGATCCCAGAGTTTGACTCTGATCAGCAGTAACTATTGAACTCTCATTTTACATCGATGATAGAATCCAGTATCATATTGTTTATAGATGATAAATTTTCAGTTAGATACTACTGATATATTGATTTTCTATCTACTTATTAAAGTTCACCATTTCCAAACAAAAGTTTCAATTATAATAGTATTATTAATTGATTAAATGATATTCATTACATAAATATACATATCCTGATTACATATTTTATCTGATTACTTAATCAATAAAATGTTTTTACAAACAGGAATTTATTGATTAAAGTACAATGATAATTTGACATGAAACTAAGTAACATGATATTATGACAGAATTCTTTTCTAAATTTCAACATTATTTCTTTCTTT